CTCGTCGATGTACTCACGAAGAGTGTCGAGCTCCAGCTTGGACAAGGAGTAGATAGGTCCGAGCGGCGGAGTAGCCCCTTCCTCGAGTTCGATCTTGAGGACGTAGGGCCGGTGCTCCGGTAGCTCGTCCGCTTTGGACTTGCTGAAGACATCCGCAAACTCGTGATACTCCTCCGGGACTCCGCTTAAGTCCGGGGGAGAGTCCGAGACGGACGAACTCCGAGCTGAGACGAAGTCCGAAGCGGCCAGATTGAGAGTGAAACTCTCGGACCCAGGCAGCTTACAAGCCCGCGCAAAGGCCGTGGCATTGATCAGCGAGACCCGGGGTGCAGAGAACGGTGAAGTCGGGGTCGGAGGTTCCGGACTACGCTCGACCGGAGTCGTCGGAGTAGAGACGGATACGGGACGAGTCGTGGGCGCGGCTCGGAATTGGATGCTACGCCTCTTCCAGTCAATCAGCGGATTGTAGGTGGAGAGCCAGCTGTATCCCAAGACGGCGGACACGGACTTGTCGAGCGGAGTAACATAGAAATCTATGTCGATGACTTCACCAGACGGAAAGTGTACAGGCAGGGTAGCAGACCGAGTAATGACGTGGTTTGAAGACCCGTCGAATAGAGACAATCGGAGCGGAGGAACGGAGTTGGTCGGAACTCCGTACTGCTCCACGAACTGCGAGTCGAGGAAGCAATGGGAGGATCCGGAGTCGATGAGAGCGCGGAACGGAGTAGGAATAGAGTCGGAGTAGAGTTGAATGTGTAGGGAGGAGGGATCGGAAAGAGCGGACGCGTTGAGCTTGACAATCTCCGTACCGAGGGAGTCAACGCGGTCCTCGACGGGCACGGAGTTCGGAGGACCGCGGACTAGTTTTTTGGCTCCTGGGCAGCCGGAGTAGCTGCCGGAGCTGGGTCCTGGGCCGGAGTCGCCTTGGCGGCTCGGGCCTTGGACGCAGAGGAGGTCTTCTTGGGGCAAGCACTAGCAGAATGGCCAGCACCTCCACAGAAGAGACAGAGGTTGTTCGCGAAACGCCTCTGACGCTCTTCCGGAGTCAACTTCCCGTCCTTCCCCAGCTTGTCGGAGTACGGCTTTGCTGGGGACTTCGCGGGGGTTCTCGGAGCTGACCCGCCGGAGTTGCCCTTCGACGGAGTAGAAGCGGTAGTCGACGCAGGCGGATGTCCGGACTTCGAGGAGTTGCCGGACCTGGAGTCGGAGGACGTCTTATGACCGGACTTTGACGAGCCCGACTCACGCGACTGCTCCGCTTTCCGCTCCCAGTAGCGGTTGTCGATAGACTGAGCGAGGTCGCGGAGTTCGACAAGCGTCGACGGCTTTCCAACTTCAGAGATGCGGTCCTTGAGACGGTTGGGAAGTCCATCGTAGAACCGGTACCGGAGAGGCGCGTTGCCCCAGCGGACTTGAGTAGCGAGGCGGGTGAACTGCGTGATGTACTTCGCAATCCGTTGATTCTCGCCCATGCGGAGGTTCATGAGCTCGTGCTCCGCAGCTCCGGACGCGTCGTAAGGTCCGAAGTTGACGCGGAGTTCCTCCTGGAAAGCCTCGTAGGAGGTCATGAAGAGCGGAGGATTGTCCGAGGCTCCCTCAAGGAGGTATGGCTCGAACCACTGGAGGGCCGTTCCCTTGAGGAACGAAATGGCGTACGTGACCTTCTTCTCGTCGGAGTCGAAAGTCCGGGGACGGGCCTTGAAGACCAACTCCAGCTGCGCGAAGAACAACCGGAGTTTGTTGGGATCGGACCCGTCGAATTGGTCCGGCTCTCGGACATTGCGCCGCTCGCTGCCACCGGAGGACGGAGGTGTTATCGTCTGTTGGAGGGTCTGGGCAAACATGGTGATAGCGGTGGCGAGCTGGGGGCTAATGTCCGAGGTAGCGGGGACCGGAGCCTGTCCATGCATACCCGGAGCTGGATTAGCTCCCGGAGTAGGGCCCGGGGCCGGAGCGGACTCCGGAGCTGGGTTGGGCGGTGCTCCTTGGGGTGCGAACGGGTTACCCGGAGAAGGAGAACGGGCAACAGGAGCATCGTCGAAAACCACACCGGCAGGACCAGCAGCAGGTCCCGGACCAGCAGTTCCGGTGTCGGAGTCCGGCGAGAAACGAGGGGGATGGACAGACTGACTGAACTGGGGGTCAACGGGCTGAGTGGAATCGACCGGAGTTACTGGTCTCCGAGTCGAGACGGTATAACGACGGACAGAGAACCCTTGAAAGGTGTCGTCAGGACCACTTGGAGTAGTCATGTCGTGAAGGACCCGTTGAGTTCGGATATACTGTTAGGACTGTGCGGACTACGGAACTCCGGAGTTCCGGACTAGGAAGCGGAATACGGAAGTCCGGGAACGGAGCGGAGGTGGAGGAGGAAGTCCGGGGTTCGGAGTACGCACGGGGGAGGACTTCTGCGAAGCTATTGGCAACGCACGGGTTCACGACGAAGTGTCCTCAATTTGGGACGGACGGAGTTCGGGGACGGAGTTCGGACTAGATCTTCGGAAAGGAGGATGGGGAGGAACGGAGACGGAACAGGAGCAGAGGCCCAAGGGCAGAGATCGGAGATCGGAGTCCGGAGGTCGGAGGTCGGAGGTCGGACAAGGAGTTCGGGGAAGGAGAATAGATATGTGTTATGAGTTACGAGATATCCGAACTGAGTAGCTAGTACATTCCCAGGGCGGTATAAATAGCTACGGTCTTATTGTCTTCTATAACAATAAGGAAGTACGGAATAGGAGAGGAAAGAGAGAAGACAATAGCCCTATTGTTAAGAACGAACATGAGGCTATGGCGTGATCTGAGACATCTGATGGTCCGGAGTTGAGTCCGGAGTACGAGGGATGGAGTCCGGAGTAGGAGGGATGGAGTACGGAGTAGGAGTCCGGGGTGAGAGTCCGGAGTACGGACCCGGAGTTGAAGTCCGGAGGTCCGGACTTCGAGTTGGAGCACGGTGCGTAACAGTACTGTGAAAGTCATGCCCAGACAATAACATGATCTAACAACTGGGCCAAAAGGCCACTATGCTGAGGCTATCAGCATATTTGTCTGGATCTATATAAGCAGTTCCTTTGCCATGCACGCCTCATGACAGTGCCCCCCTTTAGGCACCAAGCCCTCAAAGGTGCAAGCCTGACATGTCAGACTAGGGTTCCCACACCCTAGGGTTGCTAACCTTCAAGGACCCAGGAATGCTTTTACAGCAGACCCCCAGAGGTTTCCCAAGCCTCTGTAAGCCACCTGGTCTGGGGCCCTATGGTGCGGACAGAATGCAACCATCAGGGTTTGAACCGGTGACCTGGGAAGCCTCAGCATACTGTGAAAGTCATGCCCAGACAATAACATGATCTAACAACTGGGCCAAAAGGCCACTATGCTGAGGCTATCAGCATATTTGTCTGGATCTATATAAGCAGTTCCTTTGCCATGCACGCCTCATGACAGAGCTGAAGTAGCTCCCGGAGTAGGGCTCGGGGCCGGAGCGGTCTCCGGAGCTGGGTTGGGCGGTGCTCCTTGGGGTGCGAACGGGTTACCCGGAGAAGGAGAACGGGCAACAGGAGCATCGTCGAAAACCACACCGGCAGGACCAGCAGCAGGTCCCGGACCAGCAGTTCCGGTGTCGGAGTCCGGCGAGAAACGAGGGGGATGGACAGACTGACTGAACTGGGGGTCAACGGGCTGAGTGGAATCGACCGGAGTTACTGGTCTCCGAGTCGAGACGGTATAACGACGGACAGAGAACCCTTGAAAGGTGTCGTCAGGACCACTTGGAGTAGTCATGTCGTGAAGGACCCGTTGAGTTCGGATATACTGTTAGGACTGTGCGGACTACGGAACTCCGGAGTTCCGGACTAGGAAGCGGAGTACGGAAGTCCGGGAACGGAGCGGAGGTGGAGGAGGAAGTCCGGGGTTCGGAGTACGCACGGGGGAGGACTTCTGCGAAGCTATTGGCAACGCACGGGTTCACGACGAAGTGTCCTCAATTTGGGACGGACGGAGTTCGGGGACGGAGTTCGGACTAGATCTTCGGAAAGGAGGATGGGGAGGAACAGAGACGGAACAGGAGCGGAGACCCAAGGGCAGAGATCGGAAATCGGAGGTCGGAGGTCGGAGGTCGGAGGTCGGAGGTCGGACAAGGAGTTCGGGAAAGGGGAATAGTTGTGGATTACGGGTTACAGGTTACAAGATATCCGAACTGAGTAGCTAGTACATTCCCAGGGCGGTATAAATAGCTACGGTCTTATTGTCTTCTATAACAATAAGGAAGTACGGAATAGGAGAGGAAAGAGAGAAGACAATAGCCCTATTGTTAAGAACGAACATGAGGCTATGGCGTGATCTGAGACATCTGATGGTCCGGAGTTGAGTCCGGAGTACGAGGGATGGAGTACGGAGTAGGAGGGATGGAGTACGGAGTAGGAGTCCGGGGTGAGAGTCCGGAGTACGGACCCGGAGTTGAAGTCCGGAGGTTCGGACTTCGAGTTGGAGCACGGTGCGTAACACCGACGCTCGTATCACCATTCGGCCCTTCATGGCCCTACGCCCGAACTCCTGAGTCGGTCCCTTCGCAAAAAGAGGACAACCGATGAGGTTGCCCAGTGCGTTACTAATAGTTTTGCCGAAGTCCTCATTCCGGTGCTTCGGGACTTAGTCTTACCCCCGGAACCCCCGAGCACGGTCCTAACGACACCCCTAGGTGTCCAGTAGGATGCGCCCAAAATGGCAAGCGGTTGACACAAGCTGGCTGACGTATGTGGTGCCTGTTTGTGACCCATCATGATGGCCGAGATCTGGCCCGAAATGCACCAGACGTTCTGGCTGCACGCTTGCAGGCGCCTGAACGGATGGGAACGAGACTAGATCCGACCCCCCGACTCAGGTCGTCTTGAGTCGGACCCCAGCTCCACTTGACTGGGTCAAGACGCCAAGGCCTGACCCGCACACCTGTGGGCGTCACCAGGGCAAAGGGATTGAGCTGCGCCCGACACACCCCTTACGTCTGCCCCGTGGCTGAGTTGGTTACAGCGTCCGACTGTTATTCCCTTGTGAGAGGGTTCGCTATCGGAAGGTCGTGAGTTCGAGCCTCACCGGGGCAGCGCTTCCTTTTTGCCCCCACTGAAGAGCCGCTCACATACGTAACCGATGTTTCATGACAACGTTGCGTCCCACAGCTACACGCACTTCGTTGGGTCGAGGCTGGGGTTATCATTATGAACAATAATTCAAGTTAACGATGTTCTACTATCTAGTATCCTAAAGGGCGACGACCATCCGCAGAAAAGACAGAAAGGGGAGTGAAGGGAGACGTCACACATGGTGTTAGAGCCCAAGGGGGCGACCACGACGACGGTGGCGGCGACAACAACGTAGACACGTCCGCGGCCGCGTGAGAGGGAGGGAGAGGCGAGGCGAAACGATCGAAAGCAGCGCGCGCGATACAAGCAAAATAAATAAAGCGAACGAGGGGAAGAGTCCGACCACCGCAGCCCAAACCCGTCCTCGGCGGGGGAGAGAGAAAGAGAGGTACATATGGTGATGTTGATGATGATGTTGGCGATGATGATGATCCACGTTAGTGATAGCAAACACAGGTAATGTCACACACAGTCAGACACGCGCGAGAGCGAGAGCGAGGCGGGAGAGGTCGATGCGGGACGGCGGCCGCTACAGCGCGTGCGGGCCCGAGTACGAGTACGTGCTACTTCGCCAGGACTCCTCTTGCTGGTGTTGCGGGTGAGCGGCGCTGGGAGTGACCTCTCCCTCCTCGTACCCGTCGTACGCTGTTGCGTACGAGTCCTCGGTCTCCATCGGGGTGTGGATGGGTTCCTGGAACTGAGGGGGGTAGCCCGTCCATTGCTGCTCGCTTGGTGTGCGGACGCGCATCTCGTATTGCTCAGCTGGTGTGGACGGCGTGACGGATCGAGGCGATCGCGCTCCGGGGACTTGTAGTGTTGCGGATGGAGGGGCGGACTGGGTGGGCGAGGTCGGGGCGTAGGTGACGGACGAGTGGGATACGGCGGACATTGGTGGTTCGGTTTGGTATGCAGACGTTCTGGTGGAATCACGGGTATACGCGTGGTATCGGTTGGGCTCCGGCAGAGGCGAAGGCGCGGGGATCCCAGACACAGAGTAGTAGGACAGCCTGTGTGACAGTGGACTGGCCGACAACTGCGCTCGCACAGAGGGCGTCGGTGAACCTCTGTTGATATACACACCCTCCTCAAGCTTGTCAGGCCGTGGTGACTCTCCAGCCATGAGAGGGGCGGTAGGGCGGGGCGAGCCGTCAGTAACAGGCGTCCGGGGTATAGGAGGAGTGGAGTAGTCCTCTTCGTGCTGGCTAATCTCCGACTCTGACCGACAATGAGGTTGGTGGAAGATAGGCGTTTGCTCGAGCTTACCCTTCTTGCGCTCGCGCCTATGTTTGATGCCGAGGCGGTCCTTGAGATCTCCGAGCACCCACATTTCGCGCACAATGTCTTTATCGAGCGGCATGTAGGTAGACTTGAAGAACTTCACCAAGAACCGGGGGCCTGGCGAAGAAGTGAGAAGTGAGAACCTGAGGTCCAAACAAACACACAGGACTTACCGAGAGCGATGACGACGGACAAAAGAACCGCGGCCCAGAAGGTCACCTCGCCGAAGAGGACGACGACCTCATCGACAAAGTCGATGCTCTCGAAGGCCGAGTAGATCGCGATCCAGACCAACATGATGACCGAGGAACCAACGACAATGACCCAGGTGATGACAGTCCAGCTGAGGGGTTTGATCAGTACATGCTCGTCGGAGGTGTAGACAAACACTCACTAATGGGTATTGATGCCGACGTAGGTGTTCGCAGCGATGATGGCGGCAACAGACACAGTCGTACCAAAGTCGGCAAGGGATTCGATGGTCTTGCCGTTCCACGAGACCGCGATGTCGAGTGTCCAGATGAGATACGGGATGAAGAATACGACGGCCGACTGGTACAGGCCGTCCAGCATGTACATCCAGAATTTCAAGCGCGTGTACTCGAGACCCCGGATGCCACGGACGTACAACTGCGGGAAGGCGAGGGCCGCCTTCGCATTGATATCCTGGTCGAAGGCTACGGAGGTCTGTTAGTACGATGGTCACGAGGTGGGCGCAACAAGTCTTACCTCCAAGAGCGATGACGGGCAGAGAGGTGAAGGCGAGGTTGTACAGGAGGATGAAGGTGTACTGATACAAGTACGTCGCGTCGAAGCTGTTGAAGATCATGAACCAGAACATGGCGAAGGTCCAGATGACGTTCTAGCCATTGCATCAGTATAATGACTTCGAATCATCGACACGAGGGCGTTACCTTGTAGAAGAAGTTGGCGTGCATGTCAGCCACCCGTTGGTACGACCACCGGCCGTGGACGAGGAGCAGCTTCGTAAGGAACCGGAACTGCCCAAAGGCGTAGTCCGCCGACATTGCGGCCTGCGAACCCTCGTGGCCCAAAAGACCGCAACCGATGTTCGCCTCCTGGATCATAGCCACGTCGTTTGCGCCGTCGCCAATCGACAGTGTCATGGCATTACGTCCTTCCTTGACCTATAGCACGTGATCAGCGATGTGTGGGATGGTATGATCATCGGCCAAGCGACGCACCAAGTTGACAACCATTGCCTTCTGTGCTGGAGAGACTCGACAACAGACAACGGTCTCGCATTGCGTCGACAACGTCAAGAACAGTTGCTTCAGGTCGGGGTTGAGAGCGTGCCGCAGTGTGTCGCCGTCGATGACAACGGCGAAAGCAGCCTGTGCGCCGGGGACGAAACCACGCTTGTTCCGGTCCATCGACGGAGGGCCTAGTACGGAAGCAATCTTGTTCAAACCGCCTTCGATCTGCAGCCGGGTCGCTTCGTGCGAGTCCGCGGACAAGATCATGATCTCCATGTCGTTCTTCAGCAGGTTGCAGCTGAAGCCTACGCGACGCCGGAGAACAGTCGTTTAGTGACCGGAACGACTACCGGAGCAGAGACACTCACCGATCTCAATAGCCGTCTGAACTTTGTCGCCTAGCCAACCGACGGCGTATAAGTACCCTTACGACACACCGACAGCAACGTCCCACACACCTGTCAGGATCCAGAGCTTGATTCCCGCCTTATGAAGAGTCTCGATGGCCTCGGGCACGCCCTCCTGCAGCTTGTCCTCTAGCGCTGTTGCTCCCAGGATCGTGAGCGAATGCTCGACCAGCTCGTTCGCCTTGTCGATCTCCTCATCCCGATCATTGATCGCATTCGTCGCAGCCTCGTACTTCCCCACCCACTCCATATACTCCTGCTCGGTGAGGTAGCGGTATGCGATGCAGAGTGTGCGAAGACCGCCGTTCGCAAACGCCTCCATGTCCCGTGCCGTCGCAGCCTTGAGCTCCGGGTCGTGGTCCGGGGCGAGCCGCTCGTAGATAACGCTATCGGCACCCTTGCAGTACAGGACAAGCTGGCCTTGCGGGTTGCGCACGATCACGCTCATCCGCTTCCGCGTACTGTTGAACTCGAGGAGCTGGAGGGGAATGTAGCGTTCGGGCTGGCCCATGACCTCGATGTTGATCGAGTCCTTGGCCCTATGGACGAAGGGGAAGCCGACATCGCGAGCGGCAGCAACGAGAGCGGCCTCGTCCGGGGACTCGGCCTTGTACTCCAGGCGGAACGGCTCCCGGTTCGCATCGGGACGCTCGGATAAGACGCTGTGGCAGATAGCGAGCGCGCGGAAGAACTCGATCAAGTGCTGTCGCTGCGGCGAGCTGCGGTCCGCGAGGTCGTCCGCAAGCTTCGGCGAGATGAGGGTGAGATGGTCCGGCTGCGCGTAGCGGTTCTTGAAGGTCTGCGCCATCTTGTCGAGCATGCGCTGTTTGAGTAAGTGAAGTTGAATGTCCTGTTCCTCGGGGTCCAAGGCATTGACCTGGCCTTCCCGCATCGCGGCACCCCTTTGCGCCTCGGTGACGCCCTCTCCGTAGGTGACGCCGTTCACAGAGCACTTCTGGAACTCCATGACGTTCTGCGTGAGCGTCCCTGTCTTGTCGGAGAAGATGTACTCAATCTGCCCGAGGTCGTCGGAGATGTTCCACGTCTTGGGCGTGCACGCAGCGTCGAACGGCTTGTAGTACATGTCGATGTCCTGAGAGATGAAGAACGCCTGGATGGTCTTCACAATCTCGATGGAGATGTAGAGAGAGATGGGGACGATATTCTGGAAGGCGATGAGGCATGATCTATATGGTGCAACTCAGCATCTGAGTTCCGCGAGGGTACAGGCGAATACCTACACGAATGTGATAATGCCATTGAGGACGAACGAGCTTGTGGGGTCCGCGCCTTGTTCATACTCGCGCGCGCTGGTGTTCGACTTCGCGTCCAGGTAGCCGCTGATAATGCCGGACGTAACACACATCAGAATGAGGATGACGAAGTTGACCACGACATTGAAGTTCGTCTCCTTCTCGATCTTCGACCGCTTCGAGGGTGTTTCTCCGCCGTTGAGCATGATCTTCGAGTCTGCGCCCGTGAAGACGACTAGTCCAATGACCCAGGTCGTGTTGCGCAGTGTACATCCACGGAGGAGGAGCTCGTTGATAGTGACGGACTCTTGCTTCTGCTCCCCAGACGACGCGTCCTTGTAGCGGAGGATAGCGTGGTACAGGTAGAGGTTGGCATGTGGAGGCTCGGAGTCGAGAATGAAGGACGTGCGCTCGATGTCTTCCTCAGACGCGATGGACGCGGTCGCCTTGACGGACTTGCGCGGTTTGAGGTTTGTCTCGCCGTCCAAGTTCTTGGTCTCAAGATAGCACATGTTGTCGGGGTCCGATGTTGACAAGACGACGATGTCCGCTGGCACCTGCTCGTTCTCGCGAAGCAAGACAATGTCTCCGACCTCGAGCTTCTTCCAGAGAGTCCGTTCCCAGCGCGCCAGTCCGGTTACGCGCTTGTTGTAGTCAACGACGCCTATTGATGAGCGCGCGTGTATCGACTGCTGGTACGCGTCGAGCGACCCGGAACCACCGGCCCATGCTGCGACAGGCGGCTTGCTCTCCTGTGGCGGATAGCTGTGCTCGTCAACGCTCTGGATGTCGTCGAGTTTCCGACC